CGCGGGCCTCTCACTGTTGTGACCTCTCCCGTTGCGGAGCACAGGCTCCGGCTGCGCAGGCTCAGCGGCCATGGCTCACGGGCCCAGCCGCATCCCGGACAGGGTCACAGACCCGTGACCCCTGCATCACCAGGCGGACTCCCAACCACTGCACCACCAGGGAAGCCCTGTGTTCTTTTTTTTAATTTTTAAAAACGTTACACAGTTTTTAAAGATTACACTCCATTTACAGGTATTACAAAATATTGGCTATATTCCCGGTGTTGTACAACACATCCTTGTGGCCTATCTTATACCCGGTAGTTTGTACCTCCCATGCCCCAATCCTATATTGCCCGCCCTAGTTCGAACGAACCACTAATTCGTTCTCTATATCTGTGTCTTAAAGCCTGTGCTCTTAACGCTTGTGCTATGTTACCTTTCCTTTATGATTGCTATTTTGGTCAAAACATGACATGATTTCTTTTCATGCCATTTTTTCCTTCTCTTAAAAAATAGTGGAATTTTGTTCCATTTCATTTCAAAAGAGTTCCATTTCATTAGAAATCAAAATAAGGCAGTCACTCAGTAAGAGTGACTTGAAATAATACATCCAGAAGCTTAAATGCAGCTGGAGAGTCATTAGAAAGAAGTGTGATTTAATAATTAATTAATTTTGATTTTGAAGGCTATAAAATGACACACTTCTGGCTTGATCAGAATTTTATTTTAACAGTAACACTCATAAGTTCCCTGCTGGATTATAAGAAACTTAAGTACAGGGATGGAGTCTTTTCCTCTTCATAAACCTGGCATATAGCACAGGGCCTGGCACAAACTTCTCACTCAATAAATATTTATGAGAGGAACATATGAGCATCTAAAAATGTAGTGGAACTTAAAATGTAAACTAAACAAGATTTTGTTTAGGTGATGTTCCCCAAAGTGAAAGAATGGCTTGGTGTCCTCTTCTCTATCATTTGTAAATTTCTTTTTCTCTAAGGCATTGTCTGCACGTTAGGAATGCATATATTTAAGAAATACACCAATGTAAAAAACTCAAACATTTTATGGGTTAATTTGACACCACACGGTTTTTGAAGTTTAATTACCGCATAACTTATGTGATCATAAATCTGTGCTTGGATGTTAGCCAAAGTAGGTAAATTTCAACTTGTTATGTAAATGCTGTGGTTTTAGGAACCTTCATGGTAATGTGGGAGCACAGAGGAAGGCATCAAGGAGTGTTCCGGTTAGGGGAAGTCTGAGCTGTGTCTTAAAGGTTGATTTGGAGTTAGCCAGGTAGAGGATTGTGAGTGGGTGGGCAGTGGTGAGTACCGTGGAACTGCACATTCCAGGAGCACCTTTCCAGTTATGCTCTAGGAGGTGCCATTCATGGAGAATGCGGTGCGCACTGGGGGAGGGAGAGGGAGAGGCGTGGAGGTAGGAGGTAGTGTGGCGCACTAGAAATAAAAGCAAGGTGGTGGTAGGGGTGTGTCAGCACGGGCGCAGTATGATGGGAGGCAGAGCTGGGGTAGGATGTGGAGGTCCTCCGGAGGGGCTGCCGACCGCCCCCCTCAGGGGCCGAATGATTTCTTAGCAGATGTTATGGTTTACGGTAGTGACTCTTTTAAACTTCAGGGCAGTGGCATGACAGACTTAGTATGAAAACCAGAGACGAGGTCAGGACAAGCTGGCAGTGGGAGGGAGGGAGGGAGGGAGGGTTAGAGTGGAAGGTACAGTTTTATATGTTTAATTTTAACTGAGGTGGAAACAGTCCTGGGAAGAGAGCCGGGGGAGGAGGTTTCTTACCTCTCGGACAGAATTAAATGGATAGGAAACCGTTCTGAAGCATATTTTGGAATATTAGAAAAGGGGATCAAGGAAGAACGTTAATTGTTGAAAAATACGCTCTCGAAAATTTTTTTGACAGATCGCTTTAAATATCATATTGTTAAGCAGATCTTCTCTGGAGGAGACCAGACTTTTGTACTTTGCTCCAAATATGAGGTAACATTTTCTTTTGACTGTTACTTTGGGGGTGGAATAATGGTGAACCAATATTTATTTTAATAAATAATTTCATGAGAGCAACGTTACTCTTTGTTTCTACCACTTTTATTATATTAAAATAAGCCAACTAAACCTTGAGGTCATCTCCATTTTGCTTCCTTGAAGTGCCAATAATTTTCTTGGTATTTTAATCACAGAGTTCTAATTTATAATCGAAAACTATTTATTTATATCTGGATTTGTCCCAAAAGAGATTTAAGGAGACCTTAGAGAGTTCATACTTACTTTGGGATTATTTGACTTCCCATTCTTTCCTTGCCTGTTAAGTAGCCACAAATGCTGGGTGTTTGAGAGCTCTCTGGGTTGGTTGATGTGATCGAGCCTACACAAAGTATAAGAGATGCCACGGTATTCAGCTCTCCTTTGTTATTTATCATCTGCTCGTAGCACCACACTAAAATTTCCCTCAGGTTGTCTCCTGCATCACTGTGATGGGTAAGTCAGGAAGGATGACATTCTTTCAGGGCTGGAGGTCGTGGAGGACGTGGGCCAGGTATCTGTGACAGGGCTTTGGTTCACCCCCCTCTCTGGATGAGAAATGTCAGTCTGAAGTCAGCACAGATTTGTTTCCTGCTTTCCACCGCCTACCCTGCTCTCAGGCTCCCTGTCCTCTCTCCCTCCCTACCCCTCCCCTCCCCTGGCCACCTTGCTTTTATTCAACAGGCACTTAGGGAGGACCAGCGGTCTGTAGTGCGTGGATCCTTATCTTCCGCTGGAGGAGCCGGGAAGGGGCCTTGGTGATGACAAAGGAATCAATAGGTTGGAAAGAAAATGAGGGTCTGTGGACACAAGGGGCCTTGTCGCTGCTGGAAACGCTCCGCCTCTCTCTGATACTTGGCCATCTTTCAGTACGCGATGTTCTTGCCTTCTAGTCAGTGTCATTCTATGACTTTGGTAGTAAAGGTTGTGCTGGAGTCTGAGGCTGCAGGTTGGGCAGCTGAAACTGACAATTAGCTCTTTTCCAGGTCAGGATCCTGGAGAAAGTTCTGTTGAGTGCAGCCATCTGGGGTGATTTGGAACTGTTGCTTTAGACCTATTTTAGGACCAGCTTCAGTGCTTCACAGAGAAACCTTGAGAAAAGCTGAGACTATTCTTTGTTCCTTTAAGATGCTAATAAAGCGAAATATGAAAAGCCCTGAATCTCTGCAGGATAATAACTTTGTGTCCACAAGTAGTAGAGTTTGAAGTATTCATTTCCCTGTGAAACTGGCTTGACTAACCAACTTCAGTTTTCCTGTGAAATTCAACATAAAACTTGGTTTCATTTCTTTTGTAAATATGGTATCTGATGTTCGTACTTGGCTTTTAAATTTACTGTAATTAACACTGTTGGGACTGGAGAGCAAAACGTTGATGAGAAGGAAGTGAAAGTAGCATATTGTTGGAGAAATTAAATTTTCCGGGTTAAATTTTAAACAGCTGTAAGAGTTGTATGCATTAAAAATGTAAGATAACAAAGAAAGAAGAAACTAAAAATAGAATATGACTTAGAAAAGTATTGTTTGTTTGCTTGCTTGATTTTGAAGTATAATTAACCTACAACACTATTTTAGTTCCTGGTACACAACATAGTGATTTGACATTTCTATAATTTCAAAATGGTCACCGCAAGAAGTCTAGTTACCATCTGTCACCATACAGAAATATTACATAATTATTGACTAAGACCTAGGAGTCTTAAAAAGATGCTGATGTCTCTAGAGATTCTGATTTAACTGGTCTAGAGTGTGACTTGGCTGTCGGGATTTTTGAAAGCTCTGGTGATCCAAAGTGCAGCCACAGTTGGGAAACACCGACCTAGACCAAGTCTTTCTTTTGGGGCTGTATGTAATTCGAAGGTATGGAAAATCAACGCTTTTTCTTGAGTCTTTGTGTGATTCTGAGGTTGCGCTGCATCCAAGGCATCTGTGGTTTATTGGACTTGCAATGAAGACTGACAGAATAGTTCTATGTTTATATTTTATTGTAAGTATGTGTTAGTGTCTCTGTTCAGCTACCCCTTTGAATGGGGGAAGTAATTAAAATTTACATAATGACAGTGGGTTGCAAGACCGTGGTGGAGAGGCAGTCTTGTTTGTGTGTTCTCAAGTGTCTGCTCTGTCTTATAGGTTTTCTCTATGTAATCCAAGATGGCTTTTGTTCTCTCAGTAGATGTCTGTGGTCATTTTCATAATATAATTATCAAGAACAGATGATCATAAACTTTGACGAGCGTCTCTGATTTGTTACATGCCCTTCTCCTTTCCCCTTATAATGATATCTAAACTCATAACTCTGAGAAGGTAACCAAGCAAATTTACTCAGAAAGTTGTGTTTTTATGTGCAGGTGCAAAGGAGAAAAAGTGATCATCTGGTTAATGCGTTAATATTACTCTTTTCCTCCTTTTTAGTGACAAGTACAGGAGGCATAAAGCACTCTCAACTTCTTAGTTCTAGATCAAGAACAGGACTGGGGGAAAATAAGGTGAAAAAGAGCCATTTTAGGAAATAGAAGTGCTTATATTATTATTATTTTTTAATCTCACTGAAGAAAGGACGTGCAGTACAGTAGTGCTGGGCAGCATTTGGGATTTTCAAGGCCATTATTGACATGTCCTTTTTGTTACCTTTCTTATAAATTTATAGCTCTGTACTCTGAGCAAGATATTAAGAGGCATTAAGTTTTCAAGGATTATTTGCGATACAGATTGTAACTGAACTCTGACTTTGTATAATACGTTTTGTTGGAGTTTGGTCAGCAGCTATGGCAAATGATTAGTAATGTGTAAGCCTTGATGTTATGGTGAGTCAGAGCAGAGCGGGAAAGAAGCCTGGAGAAGTCATATTGGTTTGGTTTCTCTGGGGAGTGTGCTAAAGGGCCATCCCAACTTCAGAGCTCCCCATGGGACTGGCTGAGGCCTCTGTTACACTGAGCTGCAGTTCAGCGTCTCCTTCGGCCCAATCCTGCCTCTTTCATCCCTAAGGAAATGTGGTTCTGAAGCACCCCCCGCCCCTGAACATAAATCTCAGGCTCAGAGTCTGTTTCCCAGAGGAATCATACAGGTTTAAATCCTGCCGGAGGCAAGGGGACTGGGTCCCGGTACCACGCCCCCACCTGCTGCTGGGTGGGAAAGGACGGAAGCACTAGCCCAGGGCAGCACAGCTGGGAGCCCTCAGGAGTGTACACTCTCAGCAGCTGGGGGAGTGAGCACCTCCATTCTGAAGGGTGGGAGGATCTGGCAGTGCACCCCAGCTCCTGTATGTAAGTGCAGCGCAAAGCGGGGAATATACCGGGAGAGGGAGATGAGGAAAGACCCATGCTATCACATGGTTTCTCTTTTTTATTGTTATATTTAATCCTTCAGAATTCTTCTCCTGCCGTCGACTTCAGAACGATGAACCAAGCACATTACACCAGTTTAATCAATGATGAAACCATAGCAGTTTGGAGACAAAAACTCTCAGAACACAACAATGCAAATACAATCAAGTATGTGGTTGCATGTTTTCATGTTGTTTCAAAGTGTGTTGGAACTTCCTAGCTTAGTGATTTTTTCCCTACTTCCGTATTGAGGTTGTGACTATAAATGGAGTCTTACATTTTAGGGAATCAGTTTTTGGGCACATGTTTATTCAGGATTTGGTGCCCTTAGACCCAGATAACGTAATAGGCTGTTCCCCCATTATCTCACAGAATGTGTTCCTCAGCCTCCCTTGTTTGGGTCTTAATCCTGACCGATGAAGGCCTGAGTTGGCCTTTCTGCTAAGAAAACTCAGTGTTATTGTTTAACTGCAAGAGTTTCTTCATATGCATATTCCAAAGCGCATCCCAAATCTGAGACAGCTTATTTTACCTAATCTGAGTAATTTAGCATTTTCACATTCAGAATGATCAGTTGAGATAGTAATTCGGTGTCAAGTAGAGAAAAAAGTACAGTTAAAGGACTGAGGCCTTTCAGCAAGTTTATTTCATTCTTAAAAGAGAATGTTTTTTTGTTTTTTGTTTTTTTTTTACATTTTTACACATTTTATTGGCTTTCCTCAGCATTTCCATTTTTCTGCAGAGTCTTATTCTTGGGAATGAATGAATCAGGCTGAATATTAGGTGGTGACGGTTCCCAGAAATGTGTATAAAGCATCTTGCTTTATGATAGAGATCGTAGTGGAGCAAATGCCCAGGGCCCTAAAGTTTGGGCACACCAGGTGGCAGCTTTTTTTTTTTTGCGGTACACGGGCCTCTCACTGTTGTGGTCCCTCCCGTTGCGGAGCACAGGCTCCGGACACACAGGCTCAGCGGCCATGGCTCACGGGCCCAAGCCGCTCCGCGGCATGTGGGATCCTCCCAGACCGGGGCACGAACCCGCGTCCCCTGCATCGGCAGGCGGACTCTCAACCACTGCACCACCTGGGAAGCCCCAGGTGGCAGCTTTTTGAGTGGAGGATCATTGGGAATGCCCTAGAGCACCTCCATGGCGGTCCTCGAATCCCTCTAACTTTGGGCGGTTCTGCTGGGACGCTCAGGAGGGAAGGTGGCAGGGAAGGGGCTGGGGGACGAGACTCACCGTGGGAGGGGTTGGGGGGACTGAGACCTCCTTGGCTGGGACCTTGACACTTCACTAATTCTTAGTTTTCTTTTTTTTTTTTTTAAGATGTTGGGGGTAGGAGTTTTTATTAATTTATTTTTGCTGTGTTGGGTCTTTGTTTCTGTGCGAGGGCTTTCTCTAGAGTTGCGGCAAGCGGGGGCCAGTCTTCATCACTATCGCAGCCTCTCTTGTCGCGGAGCACAGGCTCCAGACGTGCAGGCTCAGTAGCTGTGGCTCATGGGCCCAGTTGCTCCGCGGCATGTGGGATCCTCCCAGACCAGGGCTCGAACCCGTGTCCCCTGCACTGGCAGGCAGATTCTCAACCGCTGTGCCACCAGGGAAGCCCTAATTCTTAGTTTTCTTATTTACGAAAGGGCAGGATGCAAGAAATGGTCTCTAAAGATCTTTCCTGACCCTGATTCTCTAATTAATAGAAGTTGCTGTGATCCCCTCAACTGTATATTTGTTTTATTCCTTCCCTTTTCCTTATATTAAATAAGAGAGTCCGGGGTTCCTGACTGCAGTTTCACCCTGGGTCCTCAGAAACTAGCGGTTTCCTCAGACACTATGTAATCTAGGTAATAGGAATAAATACTTATTTCACTTATTTTTAGTTTCTTTCTCCGATGGGTAACAAAATAGAAGGAAGTACTTGTTTGGTTATTAATTCGCAAAGATACTTTCTGTGTTTGGTAAATAACAGCTCAACTTCTCTTTTTTTGGTTTTATTTTGTGTTCACTTCTGGAGGTGAGGTGGGGAGTGTCTTAGATGATTGGTGGGAAAAGAACGTTCAAGATCATTATTATTAGGCCCAAGAGTTTTCTTTTGGTAGCTTTAATACCGTCTTTTTATTTTATTTTAACATGACTTAAGGAAAACTTAAGCTCTTGTCCATTTTGAGACATGACATGATGTTTCTCTAAAGCAATGTACATTTTCCAAGGCTTCACCTGGGTAAGAAAAAGTGGCTATTAATGAAACCGTGGAATAGAGGACTAAGCCTGGAATAGAGGACTAAGCCTGTTGTTTAATGCTTAAACAACCGTTTATTTGTAATTATTAAAGGCTTCCCTCCCTTTTTCTTCCTGAGCAGCGGTGTCATTCAGATACTATCTTCTGCAGCCTGTTGGAATGGAAGTTTTCTTGAGAAAAAGTAAGTGATTTATTAGTCTTTAAAAAAAAAAAACAAAACACATGTGATGCAAATACTTACTCAGCAAAGGCCGTGAAAGACTTCTGTTCTCTTTGATGGTGGTTGGCCTTAATTCAGTGGATAAGCCAATGATTTGCACAGAAAGTGGAACGCCCAATGATGATGAGTGAGAGGACCTCAGGAAGAGCGATGCTGATTCAATGCCGGGTTGGCAGAGAAGCAGGTTACCAAAGAGAGACACGGCATCTCAGAAAGGGTTGGTGTAGTCAAAAGTAAGATTTTTCAGGGTATTCCAAAATGTTAATCGTATTTATTCTTAAATTCTTAATTCTTTAAATAATCTCCTTGGGGCTTCCCTGGTGGCGCAGTGGTTGAGAGTCCACCTGCCGATGCAGGGGGCACGGGTTCGTGCCCCGGTCCAGGAAGATCCCACATGCCGCGGAACGGCTGGGCCTGTGAGCCATGGCCGCTGGGCCTGCACGTCTGGACCGAAAAAAAAAAAAAAAAAAAATCTCCTTGGTTTCTTTGGTTTGCTTTCCCATAGTTTTTTCTTTTCTCAGAAAGAGTGAATTTAGGGAAAAAGTTCCAAAGAGGATTCAGGGACTCCTTGGGCTCAGGGCCAGCCCAGCCCACCAGGAAATTACATTTGGCCTGAACTCCCAGGTTGTAAATAATGTTTCTTTGCTAGGCCTTATCCCTTCTGCAAATATCCCCCTCAGGAACTTGCTGCAGCAGAAGGGTCTTGTCATCGGTTTTGATCGTTGGTGATCCCAACTCCTGACCATCTTTTTATATCCTTTTCCTGCCAGTGACAATGCTAATGAAATCCCACGAAGACTTAGACTTCAGTTCTGTGTGTGAATCTCATCTCCCACTCCATCCCTGCCCCAAATTCTGTCCCTAACTGGGTTGCAAGAGATTGCTTCAGAAACTCTGTTCAGTTACAGTTAAAGATTGCAAAGTCATTTACTTGTATCATTAGGGCAACTGAAATGAGCTCATCCAGTTCATTTCAGAGTCAATACTTAGGCTTTCCCTCCAGGGAAAAATATTCTGTACTGTGCTACTCTTGGTCTTTTAGAATAGTGGTTCTCAGCCAGGCTGATTTGCTTCCCAGGGGACATTCAGTAATCTCTACTGACATTTTTTAGTTGTTACAGTGGTGGCGAATATACTACTGGCATCTAGTGGGCAAAGGCCAGAGATGCTGCCAAGCATCTCACAATTCCACCCACCCAGAAAAGAATTATCCGACCCCAAAAATCAATAGTCCCAAGGTTGAGAAGTCTTATTCTAGAAGGACAGCTTTTATGAAAGTTGGGAATGGCTCTTGGCCGGATTTCTTAGGCTATCCATCCTTAGTATCATGGATTCTGTAGATTTGTGGGTAAAACCTTTTTTAAAAAATTTTTTTAATTTTTTATTTTATTATCATTATTTTTTTTCGGTACGCGGGCCTCTCACCGTTGTGACCTCTCCCCTTGCGGAGCACAGGCTCCGGACGCTCAGCGGCCACGGCTCACGTGCCCATCCGCTCCGCGGCATGTGGTATCTTCCCGGACCGGGGCACGAACCCTTGTTCCCTGCATCGGCAGGCGGACTCTCAACCGCTGCGCCACCAGGGAAACCCATAAACCTTTTTTTTTTAAAATGGACTTCGGTGCTATTTCTGGAGTTTTCCTCCTGCTTTATGTAAACTACATCGTAGTAAACCAGTGAAAATGAAGATCCAGTTTAACAAAGCATAAATACATGTAGATAAAATATTTTGTTTTTTCTTAACAGCATAGCAGAAGGTACTTCTAAGCATATGGAAGGTTACATATGGGACATTGGAATTAATTTCTATGTTTTGGGCAAATTTGTTTTTAGAATGGCAGTAACAAAAGATCCAACAAACAAAGCCTAAGTAGCTCTTCTTGTTTGACCACTTCGGTTCCAATACGTATAATTATGGTTTTTTCCCAAATGTTAGAAAGTCTACTTATTTTTTTCTAGATTAAAACAATGTCAGATGGTATTAAAACTATCTGAATGTGTCTGTTACACATAAACAGAAGGCTGTTTTGCAAATAGTTCTTTTGTAGTTAGCAGATGTGGTATGTTCAAGAGTGGGAATTTACACGAGACATTCTCCAAGTCTCTAAAAAACTAAGACTTTATTTAAGGTTAGAAAAATGATTAGTTGCTAGGAAGTTAAAAACAGTAGCAGTGAAATTAGTCCCTGAGTGAATGTAATCGTATCCCTTGTGTTAACTGAGCAAGGCATTAACTTTGCATTTATTGTAGATCTGATTTTTTTAAAAATACTTGCTTTAAACTTGGCATTTGTTGATGAGTGGGCCAGTTTGCACAAGGGATGTTTTTTGCACCCAGTCATAGTGTCTATGTCTAGTTCAGTGTACCACAATGACAGAAAGAGTCAAAAATACAAAAGTAAATCAGGAAAAGAACACTGTGCATATAAATTTCAAGACAGCCTCAAATTGAAATGATGATCCTTGTACTCTGACTTGAAGGAAAAAGGACTTGAAAAAAAATTTTTTTTAATTAATTTATTTTTGTCTGCGTTGGGCCTTTGTTGCTGCACGCGGGATTTCTCTAGTTGTGGAGAGCGGGGGCTACTCCTCACTGTGGTGCGCGGGCTTCTCACTGCAGTGGCTTCTCTTGTTGCGGAGCACGGGCTCTAGGTGCACAGGCTTCAGTAGTTGTGGCTCGCGGACTTCAGAGCGCAGGCTCAGTAGTTGTGGCGCACGGGCTTAGTTGCTCCGCGGCATGTGGGATCCTCCTGGACCAGGGCTCAAACCCGTGTCCCCTGCATTGGCAGGTGGATTCTTAACCACTGCGCCACCAGGGAAGCCCAAGACTTGAAAATTTTAAGATCATCTTGAAAAAAGGGATTCTAGAGAGATTTATTCTGTCAGCTTTCCCCAAAGTTAATGTTTTTGTGCATCTGGTCTGCCAGGTCAAATTTAAATCTGATCATCTGATCAGTATGTAGAGTATGTATTTTGTTGACAGCTTTGTAATTCCTACCTATCAGAGTGTTTGTTTTGTTTTTCTTTTATTACGTATTTTTTTAAAATTAATTTTTACTGGAGTATAGTTGCTTTACAGTGTTGTGTTAGTTTCTACTGTACAGCACGATGAATCGGCTTTACATATACATATATCCCCTCCTTTTTGGATTTCCTTCCCGTTTAGGTCACCACAGTGCATTAAGTAGGGTTCCCTGTGCTATACATATTTTTTGTTTTTATTTGTTTAGAATTGATGAGCATTTTAAAACAAGTCCCCAAATCCCTGGGATTGACCTGAACTCAACTAGAGTGTTATTTGAGAAGTTAATGAACTCTCAGCACTCCATGATTCTAGAACAGGTATGTTTCTTTAACTTTTACAAAGTGCATGCTTAAAAATGTATTTTTGCATTGAAGTGAGCTGACTTTCAAGAGAAAAAGAAAAAGTAGGATGAAAAGGCAGAAGAAATCTTGTATAAATCTTGACTCTGTAAAATATTCACTTTGGGAATTTGACCTGCCTATAACTTTCTCTCTGGCTTAAGTTTTTCTAAGGAAATGCTCCCCCAGAGTGTAAGGTCTGCATGGGCACAGATCTTTGGCTTTTCTTTTCACTGATGTATCCTGAGTGCCCAGACCAGTGCCTGGCTCGTAGAGGGTCTTGAGTACATACTGAATGAATGAGAGTTGAGAGTCTCTCAGATAGTTTATGAATTTAGAGATCAGGTAACTAGATCTCAGGTGTGTTTGAATTTCTCAATACTCTTTTCTCTCACGCAGATCTTAAATAGCTTTGAAAGTTGCCTGATTCCTCAGTTGTCAAGTTCACCACCAGATGTTGAAGCAATGAGAATCTACTTAATACTACCGGAGTTTCCCCTGCTCCAGGATTCTAAGTATTACATAACGTTGACTATTCCCCTGGCTATGGCCATTCTGCGGCTGGATACAAACCCCAGCAAAGTCTTAGGTGATTTGCTACACTGAATACCAGAGGTTTTGTGCTTTTTATCTTATTCATGTGACCGTTGGCTCCTGGTGGATTGACATGCAAGAATCTATTTGTTGCCATTTAATATCCTTAACACTTAAAACTTTTCTTTCTTTGCTGTTAATTTCTAATTTGCAGTTTGAACAAATTGAACCATTATTTAGGTTATTTGAAATGATTTACACCAAACTAATCTTGATTTTTAAATATTCACAAAGTTAGATTATTAGACTTTATTTTTTTCTCCTCCTACACTTGCTAGTGGTTAATAGTGCCTGAGAATTAGCGTCCATCTGTTGTTTTTTCTCTTGCACCTAATTTAGGGGGTGGGAGTGAAATGAACAGTTGTGGTGTGATACACAGGTCTCCAGAAAAGGAGAGGAAGAAAATGACCCCGTGGAGACTTACCAAATGTTTGTTTTGTTTTTCTTTTTTAGGACAGTTGAGTCCACACTGATTTTTGCAGGCTACGGACACTTTGCTGAGATAAGAACCTTCCGTTCCTCAGTGAATTGGAGAGTGTCTCTCACGGGAGTAGAGCCTGAGATGTTTTTATTAATCAAATGCAGAACGTCTGGCACCTGGCTTTTTCCTTTTATTTTAATTTTTCCTGGTACCTTTGTTTTAGGTGTATTCACTGCAGCTCAGTAACTTCTGCGTTCCATATGGAGTAGGATGTTACTCGAGTGTGGTCTCCCCATGAGTAAAGAGACCTGTGTGGCTCAGGATGGAATACTGGCTTTTCCATATTGCTTCCACCTTTTGTAGAAGGTGGAACCATTCTACAGATAATCAAGAAAGCACCAGTAAGATGTTGGTCCTTAATTTTTTTAAGCTCAAAAGCCCTTTGGGGCATATTGTCTCAGGTGTTCTGATAGATTGTGAGGTAGAGATATAGCAGTCTTTGAAGGAATATTACCTGACTTAAAAATTTGGGGTTTTTTTTTTTTTTTTTACAGGACTTAGGTGGTGGCTGAGAAGAGGGCTAAAAGGACGAGGATATGTGAATGCTCCTGCCCGAAATATGTGCCTGAGCATCTTGTCCACATGTGCCCTTGGAACTGAACTTTTAGATTAGGCTTCTGGATGAATCCTTGAGGAAAAAAATCAAATAAAGCTTTATAACAAAGCTCCAGGATTCTCGTACAGCTGCCACTCTCTCCAGAAATGCTTTAATGGATTCTTTTTAAAGTTAGTTTTGGGAAACTGTATTTTAGACTAATGCTTATCTTCTAGCTGGAGCAGTTTTTAGCTAGCAGGCAGAAGACATCAATACTTGATGAAGATCACATGTTGAAATATGTCTTTCCTTTCTTTCTAAAGATAACTGGTGGTCTCAGGTATGCCCGAAATATTTCACGAAGCTGGTAAACCTCTATAAAGGTGCAGTGGTTTATCTACTGAGAGGAAGAAAGACATTCTTAATTCCTGTACTGTTTAACAATTATATTACAGCAGCGCTCAAGCTCTTGGAGAAGTTATACAAGGTGAGCATAGAGAAGAGCCAGAGGGGAGAGCGATGCAGAGATAGTAGGGTCAGATGATCTACCGAGATGTTCTGTGGGAAGCCATTTACCAGTCGCCTGGGTCTTAGTTGCCCCTGTCTTGTTCTTCATCAGGTAAATCTTAAAGTGAAGCATGTGGAATATGATACATTTTATATTCCTGAGGTTTCCAGTCTTGTGGACATTCAGGAAGACTACCTCATGTGGTTCTTACATCAAGCAGGCATGGTAAGAATTCATGTAAAGCATATCTCAAAGCTTTCATCTTTTCTCAGAGTACACGTAAGGGCAAGGAAAGCACATCTGAACTCTAAAGTTTGTCCTTGACTTGGATGTTAGTGCTATACCTGTGTTTGATCAGCTGGCTTTTGCACTTTTGAAACACTGAAGTGCTTTGAGTAATCATAAGCAGTCACAGATGGGTAGTCACCCAGAACGGTATAAATTTTAATTAGTTGCCAGAATTAAAAAAAATCAAGGTATCTAAAATAGTCAGACTCATAGAAAGTAGAATGGTGGTTGCCAGGGTCTGGGGAAGGAGAAAATGGAGAGTTGTTGTTTAATGGGTATAGACTTTGTTTTACTTATTTATTTTTTTAATTGACATATAGTTGATTTACGATACTGTGTTAGTTTCAGGTGTGCAGCGCAGTGATTCATATATCTATCTATATCTATATATGTTCCTTTTCAGATTGTTTTCCCTTATAGGGTGTTACAGAATATTGAGTAGAGTTCCCTGTGCTATACAGTAGGTCCTTGTTGATTATCTGTTTTGTATGTAGTGGTGTGTATATGTTAATCCCAAACTCCTAATTTATCCCTCCCCCCATCTTTCCCCTTTGGTAACCGTGAGTTTGTTTTCTATGTCTGTGAGTCTATTTCTGTTTTATAAATAAGTTCATTTGTATCATTTTTTTAGATTTCACGTATAAGTGATATCGTATGATATTTGTCCTTCTCTGGCTTACTTCACTTAGTATGAGAATCTCTAGGACTTTCAGTTTTGCATGATGAAAACGTTCTGGACATTCATTGCACAATTATGCAAATGTAGTTAACACTAATGAACTGTACACTTGAAGATGTTAAAGATGGTAAACTTTATATGTCTTTTACCACAATTTTAAAGAGTCAAGGCACATAAAATGTATTTCTGGCTTTTCTTGAAACTTGGAAGATCTGGCAACATGACCTGTCTTTCCAGATGGCGCCAGTTGGCTGGAGTTCAGTGGGGGCTCTTTGGATGAGGCTGAGACGTGCCAGAGTCCCCACTGCAGCTTGACTTTGACCCTGAGGAAAGGATCATTTACTAATTGTCGTCATCTAACAGCTAGCCTACTTTAGTCATCCTATTGTCAGCTGCCTGAACCCTACAGGCTACCTCTGACTTGGGATTACGTGTGTGAAAATGTCACGTATCCCTGACCTGGTTCTCACTATACGTTAGAACTGCGGGTTCCTGCCTGCCACCCTTGGCTTGGTTCCTCAGTTTGATTGTAGACTGGCTTGGGATATATGCAAGGCTTTTTAGGATCCCCCATCTGTGGATTATGTATAAGTTTGAGTGATGTCAGAAAAGAGAGTGATTATTTGGTTATTATATTTAGTGAAGCCATGCATAGCAGACACATTTGAGGTGAGTCCTTGCCAATTAAGCAGATTCATCACTGACATTTAGGCAGTATTTCCCTATACGCTGTAGGGCTTTTGGAGGTCAGTAGTGGTTTCCAAAAGCAAGGCATTTAAATTGGTTTATTTAGCTAAGGAAGAGTTTTTTCTTTATTAAATAACAGGTGATCAATGCTAGACACAATATTGTGTTTTTAGTAAGATTTCTGATTACTTTAAAAAACCAAAATCCTTTTCAAAAAAGTGGATGAGTCTTCAAAACGGGATTTACATGGAAATTTAACACGGAGTCTAGCAGTGAACTCTGTTTTCACCTGCTGATTTAGAAATTGTAAAAAGATAAGCCTCTCTGTTTTTTCAGTTTGTGAATACTCTTTGAATCATTAAATGTTAAGAACTGAAGTAAGCCTTATGAATTATTTAGCCAACTGCTTTGTTTCTAGGTGAGAAATTGGAGGCCCAGAGAAGCTAAACAATTTTTCCACCAATTCAATTAGCTTAAAAGCCAATTTTTCTGACTTCTAATCTACCCTTTCTTGCTGCTGAATAAAATAATCCTAATGAGCTCTAATTCTTTTTGACCCTGAAAAAGAAGTTGCTGGTGTTAAAATATAGGTTACCATGACTGTGGTCTCTGAATGGAGATACTTAAGTGAGCAACTTTTATAGTTCCTTTCTCTTAACATTTGATAAGCAAATATAAGTCTTAAATACCAGCTGCTCATCTCTTCAAAAATTAGTTATTATAGAAAGATAGAAAATTAGGTGAAATTACTGTGTGACCTTCTGTGATTTCTGTGGCATTTTTTTCTGTTATACAGTGCTATTAGAAATTAAAGTTTATATTTCTTCATATCTTGGATTTTAACGTAAAATGCTAAAGCTATTTCATATATTGATTCATGTTTTTTTGACTACTTTCTTTCGAGATATAATTGACATGTAACATTATATTAGTTTCAGGTGTATAACATAATGACTCGATACTTACATACACTGTGAAATGATCATCACAGTATGTCTAGTCACTGTCACCACACAGTTAACAAATTTGGTTTTTCTTGTGTTGAGAACTTTTAAGATTTACTCTCTTAGCAGCTTTAGCAACTAAAATATGCAACGCAGTTTTACCGTCTATAGTCACTATGCTGTGCATTATTATCACTGTGACTTATTTATTTTATAACTGGAAGTTTGTACCTTTGACCCTCTTCGTGCATTTTACTCACCCGCTATCCCCTCTCCCCTCTGGCAACCACTAAACTGTCTCTTTATCTATGAGCTTGTTGTTTTGCTTTGCTTTGCTTTGTTTAGATTCCAAGCATAAGTGAAATAATACAGCGTTTGTCTTTCTTTGTCTGACTTATTTCACTTAGCATAGTGCCTTCAAGGTCCATCCAGGTTGTTGAAAATGGCAAGATTCCATTTTTTTTTTTTAACGTCTGAGTGTTACCGAACCAAACTTGGGTCGGTTTGCCTGCGCTCAATAAAGCCAATTTCTGACACCGGGTTGTGGGAAGGAAAGTGCAGCATTCACTGCAGGGTACCAAGCAAGGAGTCCAGGGAAGCTAGTGTTCAGAGCACCCGAACTCCCTGGTGGGTTTCAGGAAAGCGTTTTTAAAGGCCAGGTGGGGGAGGGGAGTCGCAGAGTATGTAATCTGCCTGTGCACAAGTCTCTGGTTGGTTGATGGTGAGGTAACAGGGCAGTGTCACATTATCATTCCTCAGGCTCCAGTAGGTCTGGCGGCTGTGTGCTCCTGGTCATCAGGTAGGTAGTTTCTTCCATTTGGTGGTGGTTTTAGTATCTGCAAGAGAACTCAGGAAATGCGCATCAGGTACTGTTATCTAGGTCCTTCAGAGAGGAGCTACAGCAGAGGGTATGGGGGAGGGGTCCATCCTGGGAAGGCCCCATAGGGTCCTGCTCGGTTACAGGAGTACTATTCCACTGTGTGTGTATATACCCCATCTTCTTTATCCCTTCATCCATCTGTGGACGCTTCGGTTGTTTCCATATCTTGGCTAATGTAAATAAGGCTGCCATGGATATGGGGGTACATAAATCTTTTCGAATTAGTGTTTTTGTATTCCTTGGATAAATACCCAGAAGTGGAACTGCTGGATCATATGGTAGTTCTATTTTCAATTTTTTGAGGAACCTCCATACAATTTTCCATACTGGCTGCACCAGTTTAAATTCCCACCAACAGTGCACAAGGGTTCCCGTTTCTCCACATCCTTGCCCACCCTTGTTATTTTTTGTCTTTTTGATAGTAGACATTCTGACAGGTGTGAGGTGAAACCTCACTGTGGTTTTGATTGGCATTTCCCTGATTAATGATGTTGAGCATCTTTTCATGTGCCTGTTGGCCACCTGTATGTCATCTTTGGAAAAATGTCGAAGTCCTCTGCCCGTTTTTGTAATTGGGTTGGTGATTTTTGTTTTTTTTTTTTTTTTTGATATTGAGTTGTATGAGTTCTTTGTATATTTTGGACATTAACCCCTTATCAGGTATATTGTTTGCAAATACCTCTCCCATTCTGTAGGCTGCCTTTTCATTTTGTTGATGGTTTCCTTTGCTCTGCAGAAGCTTTTTAGTTTGATGTAGTTCCATTTGTTTATTTTTGCTTTTGTTGCCTTTGATTTTGAAGTTGGATCCAAAAAATCATTGCCAGGACTGATGTCAAGTTGCTTACTACCTACGTTCTCTGCTATGAGTTTTATGGTTTTAGGTCTTACATTCAGGTCTTTAATCCATTTTGAGTTAATTTTTATGTGTGATAAGTAAGATAGTGGTCCAGTTTTATCCTTTTGTATGTGCCCATCCAGTTTTCTCAACACCATTTATTGAAGAGCCTGTCCTTTTCCCATTGTGTGATCTTGCCTCCTTTACATAAATTAATTGGCCATATATGCATGGGTTTATTTCTGAGCTTAACCACTTTTAAATCATAGTAATGAACAATGAGTGGATTTTCCCCCAGCTTTACTGAGGGATAATCGACATTATTGTATATATTTAAAGTGTACAATATGATGATTTGATATACAGTGTGAAATGATGACAAAGATCAAGTTAATTAACACATCCATTACCTCACATAGTTAACTTCTTTTTTTGTGTGCTTTGAGAATGCTTAAGATGTACTCTCATCAAGTTCCCAGTATTTAATACTGTGTTATTAACTATAGTCACCATGCTGTGCTTTAGCTCCTTAGAGCTTACTTGTAACTGAAAAGATCCTACCCTTTGACCTATATCTCCCCATCTCCTCCCCTGTTCCCGCCCTAGCCCCTGGAAACCACCATTATTCTGTTTTGGTGAGATTGGCTTTCTTGTTTTTTTTTAGATTCCACATGTAAATGACACCATACAGTGTTTGTCTGTCTCTGTCTGGCTTATTTCACTTAGTGTAAAATGCCCTTTAGTTTCACCCATGTTGTTGCAAATGGCACGGTTGCCTTCTTTTTTATGGATGAATAATGTTCCTGTGTGTGTGTGTGTGTGTGTGTGTGTGTGTGTCTGTCTGTCTGTCTGTCTCACACTATATGAGTTTTTATGTGTTAAATTTTTTGCGTTGGCAGTAGCCGAGGCAGT